TAATATATTTAACTTGTGTAGTAAATTATATTTATTTAAAAATAGATTATTTTTCACTTTATGAACTATGATGGCCACACTTGGTACTGGACGAAAATATTCACAAAATACGAGTTCTAAATGATAAAATTACTTTAATATTATGTTAAAAGAATACAGATGAAAAGTCACATTGTCCTTTTGTATACTTGACGTTTTTGATTGTTTTTTTTTTTTCATGTACAAACACACTGCAATTCGGCATTTTGTTGGAGCTCGATTTACTGGCACGATCACTTCGGAATGACGCACGACGCGGAGCAAATAGTTTTATATAACGAGTATGAGTCGGACCCTCGTACCTTTTACAGAGGGGTATGCCTAGCGATGCCGTCTCCTTTGGTTTAATACTCAAAGGTTTTTACCATCTGTAGAATCCATTTTTCCTGCTGTATCCTCATACCAAAGACTACAAGTAAGATGAGATTGTTTAACAGCAGGAGCATAGCTTAAAATGGTTTCCATGAATGCTCGATATGCATAGGTATTATTAGGTGGTGATACAAGCTTTTGGTTTAAATAAACATCAAGTTGACTAAAAAGTGAATGCAGCCAATTATTTACAGGTGCTACTATTGTAGTAGATATCAAGTTAGTTAAATCTTGATTTAATACTTTAGACGACTCCGTGGCGCAGTGGCTTAGCAACGAGTGGCTGCGCTTGGGGTCGCAGGTTCGAATCCCGCACGTAACAAGTATTTGTATGACCTCCAAATAGTCGTTCCGGGTCTGGATATTTGTCCTTGTGCAATTTATGTTTGTAAACTGCCCCCAGGATACAGGAAAAAATGCTAGTGTAGGGGTAAGGGTTTAAAAAATACTTTTGCCTTTATGTGGAGTAATGTATGAGACAAATCTATGTAGTCATCGCCTGTCCCAGGAACTTGAAACTCGATAGGTCCATCATCACCAAGATATGACATTGGTTTGTAATGAATCCACAATCCATTTTCAATGCCAGTTTGTGTAGGCGGTAGTGCAAACAAATCCAATTCTGACTTAACGCACTCGCAAGAATGATTATGAAGGAAAGACATTTTTAATTTGAAAATATATCTTTGATATTTTTTGGTTTGAGACCAAGTTTTTTCGCAGCTTGCACTTTAGCAGTTAATGGTGCGTTCGTTTTAAATTCGTACTAACTTGCTTTAGACGATCTTTTATTGAGGCTTCCATAGGACGCCTCAATAAAAGATCGTCTAAAAGATCGTCCGATAAAAGTCCTACTCCAGCGCTTAATACCTCCTTGCCAATAACCCGAGAACCATTTAAAATTAAAGGTAAAACTGATCTTAATAACTAAGAAGCTCCCAATACCACGACCGCGTTGGTATGGTGAACCCTTATAAATTACTCCAAATCCTGACCAAGCTTAATGTGTATAATAATTTTCATATGGACATTTATGATGATCACGAAGAGAATTCATTATTATAATTTTCGGAAATGTAGTTTAATACACACGGTTCCAAACTGGAATGGTATTTTTTGTCCTGTGCTCGATCTTATAACTATTTCCAGCGTATCGAACTCTCTTCGCATAACATGTAAGTAGTGAGGTTGAGAGAAAACGTGCATTTTATTTGCACCATAAATGTATTTTGTAGGATCTAATGAAATGACTCTTATTAAAGGAGTCATAACATCACCCACAATCTGAGGATCGATAATGTCGCAATATATAAAGAGTTGAGATGGTAATCCTAAGTGTAAATTAGCAGGACACTCCTAAATTTATCTCTAGGAGATTTTTATTTGGTTCATAACCCAGTTGTAAACTTCCAAATCAATCTTCCAATCCAAAACAGAAATAGACACAAATTTTGTTATTTCATCATAGCGAAATTTCAAGTTCTCTCCGATACCATTTAACACTCTTAAAATATGCTCAATGTTATCATAGTTGGTAGCTGGAATATGTTTTTTGTAGTACACTATGGATGGTTTATCTTCATTAGGCATTAACATAGATTTTGTAATGTATATAACATTTTCATGATCTTGAACAGTAAACAACTCTAACTCGACTCGACAACTCCAATCGATCATTCACCTTCTAATTTAATAGCTTTTGGTAATTTCGTTGAAAAATTTGTGGTCTTGTTATCAGGAAAGTATTCCATTGAACTATTGCTGAGCAAAGTTAAATAAAAATTTTCTTTATTCATATTTCTTTTAAACTAGAAGCTAAAATCCAACTGTTAAATTTATCTGGATAACCTTTCCACTTCACTAATACTTCTTTTCTGTTACCTGAATAACGAGTGTCAATTATTTTATCTATTTTATATTGTGAGGTTGGGTTGTAAGTGATTTTCTGTAATTCTCTTTCATAAAAAGTACCAACTATTGGTTCATTTTGTAAATCTGTTATTGTATAAACAACCCATGGAGTTCTATCAATTATTGAAGATGTAATAAATATTTCATCACTCCAATTTGATTCATATCCTTTTTGGAAAACATGTTTATATTTAGTTATTCGAACATAATCACCCACATTGAAATTTGGTTTAGGATTTTCTAAAGAAAGTTTATTTGACCGTCTATCATAAAGATTAGTCCAAACTGTCATAATATTGTTGGAATTTACATCATATGGGCACATCTTAATACCAGAGTGAAAGCTGTGATTATAAGAGTATATTAAATCTTGTAAAACATCTATATATCTATAAGTATTATTATGAGTGAAATAACGCCACATTTTCATTTTTAGTGTTCTTTGAAATCGTTCAACAATACTGGCCTTAATGTCAGGATTGTTAGTGGTATAGTAATTAATCTTTTTGGATTATCTATTGTATATAATCTATATATCTTATTGGAAGTATTTTTGTACATCTTTTGAAACAAATTCTGTACCTTTATCAGATTGTATGTGAGTAGGTGTTAAATTACTTTCAGTAAATATACTTTCAAAACATTCTTTAGTTGTTTCTGCTTTTCTTTTTAATTGGTCTTGCAAAAGCATATTTACTAAATACATTAATAACACAAAGTATATACTTGAAACCATCATTATATAGGGTGCGTTTGGCAGAAAAAAGCGCTTGCAAGCGCTTGTAAGCAAAATGGCGATCGTAAGCGGTAAGCGCTGTCAAATCGTAAGTAGCTATTTTCCTCTTGGACACGAAGTTAGTTTTAACTGGGTAACCTAACCTAATTTAAATATATGTTTGTAAAGTATTCATATTAAAAACTTACCAATCATGAATTTTTATTAACATGTATATGTCTATTCATGTCATTATATTACTTAAAACTAATATTGCACAAAACAACTTATAAACTCTACTTCAAAACAAACAAATTAAATAAGCAAAATGGAGGATTGTGTCAGCGCTACTGAAGTTAGCAAACGTGTCCTGGCCGAAAACTGTTTAGTTTCGCCATTTTGCTTACAAGCGCTTGCTAGCGCTTTTTTCTGCCAAACGCACTCATTGAGAATAAGTGCCACAATAAATGCCACAGTTCATTAATATTTGATAGAATGTACCTATTACGCGGGAATTTTTTTCGAATGGGTTTATGTAATGTGTATGTTTCTTGTGATTTTCACCATTACTTTACTTGCTTTTTATTCATTTTACCCTTCATGGTTTTTGATAATTTATCAATACTACCAAAACCAGCGGGATTAGATGGATCATAATAAATCCTGTTAATTTCTTCTAGTACGTGGTCCATTTTTCCCACTTAAGCCTTTTACGTATTTTAGTTGTTGAATTTTTATCTCTACTGCTCGGTGTAGAAAACTCTATTTTAGTTATAGTTTTTGTATCTCCTCTACTAGGTGTAAAAAACTCTTGAACTTCAATCTCAGAGGGTTTGTTCAGATCTTTTGCTTGAAGTTGGTTAATAAACTCACATCTCTTTGGATTTCCAATATAAGTAAGTGGTACTTTAATATCTTTTAATGGTTAGGTTAGGTTAGGTTAGGTTAGGTTAGGTTTTTTTTTATTATACGCTTTTCCCCGATCATGAGATCACCGGGTCCTTATTAATCTATATCACTCTTACATTCCAGTTCTCGCATATATTCGCACGTTCAAGCCGCATACTTGTTCTTTCTTTTATTCATCCACGCTCATTCTTTGCCGGGTGAGACTCCCGCTATTCTATGCTAATATATATATATATATATATATATATATATATATATATATATATATATATATATATATGTATATATATATATATATATATATATATATATATATATATATATATATATTTCTCACTATTTTAATTTTTTTTTTTACACGAATATTTTTGCTTACATATAATATCTAACCTTACAAATTCAATGTACTTATTCTTATTTTAATTTACAACTTTTTAGGTTTACACATTTATTGACTTACATGGGTTACTTATCATTATGATCTTACACTTTTACATTTCTTATTTCTTAGTTCTATTTACATCTATTAAACTTACATCAATATATACATACTTAATTCCTATTTCTAGCATTTTTCAGTTATATGTTCCTTAATTCTATTCTTATTTCTATCATTTGTACAACAGATAGTACTTCCATTCATTTAATTATTGCGTTTACGTTTTACAATTTCGTAAGATCTTGTCGATTTTGCATTTTGCAGGATTGGTGAGTTTTCTGTCATGTTGTGTCAGATTTTGTACTTTCCTTCTATTTTTTTTTAAACACTTTTGTCGAGCCAATAACATATATATACTAAGTTTATACATATTTATTGACTTTTTCCTTTGCCAGTTTTAGTTACATACTTCATTTTTCTTTTGTTTCGAGTTACTGTGTGTGGTTCATGTAAGTGTTTTTGTGCTGTATGATATAATCGTGTATATTCAATATACATTCTGTATATCAAATTGTGATCGTTTTGTTATGTATTTCATGTTTGTGTGTATCGTGTTTGTGTTTCTGTGTGCTTTTGTGACTGTGTGTATGTGTTGTTTAATTTCCTGCATGTGAGTTAGGCATAGGCCGTGTTTGCTCTATCCAAGTAGTCCCACTTTTTCCGCACTGGGCAGTCAGCACTAAACGCATTATGGTCGGTCTTCCGCAGTCCACAGTGTGAGCAGTTGCAGCACTGTGGTTCATTACCTGCAGTAAAGTCTGCGCATTTCTCGCGGAGATGCGGTCCTCCACAGTGACTGCATCTGTCCACACTCTCGGTGCAAAATTTCCGACCATGTCCGAATGCAAGGCACTTCGTGCATTGGATGAGCGGAGGCTGGTCCTCGACCCTGACCCTTTGTAGGTCTAGATAGAGGGCTCCAGCCTCCGTCATCCTCTGCCATACGTTAGGCTTTACCTGAAGGATAATGTGCACTGTTTTGGGATTTCTGGTACGTTTTTTGAATTTTATCAGCATTTCCTTGTCCACTTCAGGTAGGCCCACGAAAATTTCTTTATTCTGCGCGTAGAGCGCCTCGATTATATCGTCGTCTTCACTATCAACAAACACATCTTTTAGGACAACAAGAGGGTTTTTGTTTCTCATTGGCGCTACTACCAGTCCATCTCCACGACTCTCTATTATTTCCTGAACTTTCTTCATTTCTTTTTCAGTGTCACAACCTACTATGACTGTTTGATTTTTGGCCTTGTGCACCTTGTTAATTTTGAGGCCAGTGCCTCTAGCATCGACCACCTTTTTCACCCTGGCGAGCACCTCGTCAGCAGTTTCGAGACCACTTTCGAAGGTGACCGCCATCGAGTGAAGTGCAGGGCGGTGGACGGGTTTGGTAGCTGCGACGCTGGCGTATGACTTAGGGACTGCGTTTGTTTCGCATGCCAGTCCTTTTGCGACCTCCATAAGTTCCTGTTTGGCTGTGACGACATCATCGGCAATACCACCGACCAGATCTTTAAGGAGAGCGTGCGTTCGACTCTCGACCTCCTCGGTCGTTTGGTCTATGGCAGCTCTGGTCTCATCGATCCTGTCGATGATCTTGTCGATCATGTCGGAGCCTCGGTCGTTATTACCATTATGGAGTCCTACTATGTCCGCCTTCAGACTCCGCTTTATCTCATTTAGTCGCTCGATCAGTTTTTCTTCCACTTCTCCTAGTTTCCTGAGGGCCACATACTGCCCATTGGTTGACGAGGTCTTTGTTGGCGTATTTGTTTTTGAGACCTCTGCTTCGAGACTTTCGATACGCCTACTGAGCTCGAAAATTGCTCGTATGCCTTTATCTGACTGCGCCTCCAGGAAATGTTTTATGTCTTTCCTCATCTGAGGGTACTCCTTGACTTTCAAGGGTATATCCTCGAAGGTTTTCATTATCTCCTGGAGGAGCTGATCACTCGGTAATGCAGCGTAGTTCTGTTGCTGCTTTTTGTATATGTCCATATTATCGAGTGATCTTCTTTTGGCGTCTGGTCTTTTGATAAAGGTCCTAGCAGCATCCTGCGCTGCTGCGGTTGTGGTGGCAGGGCTAGGAGTGGTGGGCTTTTTGGCAGCGCCAGAGGTCGTGGGTGTGCGGTACATGGTGTGTAGTGTATGTAGTTTTAGGTGGGTCGGGGAAAGTTGTCCTCGAAAATATTTGTTAGACCCTGTAAAGGGGGGTCTGTGTCAAGTATGTAATAAAAACTAACCTATCCTATAGAAATAAAAATAAAAATGAAGGAGAGTCCTGCTCTACCAAGTTATTATTACCTTATGAAGTTAAAAAAGGATTAATCTAGGGCCCGTTAGCCTTCAGGAGCCAATTTTGGTCAAAATAAAATTTCAAATTTTTTTCGACTCTACCTAGAGTCAATCTAAGTAAATACAGTTGTAGATCTCCCCCGAGCCCTTTCGTTTAAACCCAAACACGACTGTCCCAGCCTTAGGGGTTCCGCAGAAACAGCAGCTCAAATCGTAATTAAAAAACTACTTACAATAAAAATCTGAAAAATTTTATGTACCTTTCTTATGTTAACCTAAACATTATTTAAGTATAAAAACAAGGGATCTTCGCTTTAAATTTTAAAATATAAAATTTTGAAAATTTCACTAAATTTAAAAGTTCAATTATTCCGCAGCCACTTAACTTATTAAAATTCCGAAAGTTGCTCCCGGCTCCCCTCCAGGCTGGCTACCAGAATGCGACTTCAAAAGTAGCCGCACGGTTCTCCTTCTCGAAACACGTGCCCACGTGGTACTTGTTTTTTTGCCTTTTTCTCCGAGACTATGGCTCAGAAAATTTCCAAATTTTTAACACGTGTAGGGGCCGTGTGTAGGTTCAATGCCACACTTTAAAAAACTAGGGTTACAGCACTTAAACACTCAGCGTTTCAATTTTAAAATTTGAAATTTCCGAAATTTCACTTTTTTCACTATAACTTTGTCACTTTCACTCCGATTTAAAAACAATTTGCACGACTATAAGCCGCGTCTTTTGGTGTATAACACACAAAAATCGGACGTAAAAAACCTACTTAAACGAATTTTTAAGCGCGGAGCAACTCAGAAACGTGGCGTTCGGGACGGCAGTTGGCACCGGACTGGTTAGGTTAGGTTAGGTTAGGTTAGGTTTTTTTTTTTTTTTAAATGTATGTTTTGCTGCTTTCCTCTGACATGGAGGTCAGAGACATTGTCAGCTTGACATGGACTTTATTTCATGTTTTTTATTTACTTTGTCCTTTTTGTTTTATAGAGGGTGTAGAGGACTCCGGGTTTTCGTTCGGGAGTCCTACTACTCTTAACCTAGTACACGCAATAACATTATATTTTATCATTTACTATAAATTCCTCTATATTTAATGCACATACAATTTGTAAATAAATCTTATAATTTTGAATTTGGAG